CGAGGAGTTGAAATTGAATACTTGTTGAAAATTTGTCAGATATTTTTTTTTATAGAGTATCTTACCTAAAACTAGGCATAATTTGTTTACCACGATGTTATAAATTATAAAAAAAGACAATATAATTATAATCAATCAAGAAAAAGATTACAATTCATATAGAAAGCTATAATAAGTAGATTTTTGAATGTATCTGATAAAATATACATAAGATATAATAAATACTTGATAATTATATTAACATAAGGGAAAGGAGGATAGTATAATGAGAAGTCCATTCATATTAAAGAGATGGATCTGGTACGAAATCCCGACAAACTCAATCCCGATAGTTCATCGAAATCCCGAATGAACGATAGCCTAAATGAACAAAAAATCCCGCACCCCGAAAATGTGGGAATACAACGATTTCGGGATATCGATTTCGTTTGTCGGGCTTGTGAAAGTAACCTACCTGGCAAATAAAATAGTTTGTATCTCGAGTTTCTGTCGTGAAACTACTTTCGGTGTTCTAACAAAAAATGTTCCTTGCGAAATTTTATTTTATAGCCTCAAGCAAAATATATCTTAATCCCGATTCTAACCCTTATATTAATTATAATAAAATAATCGAAATACTGTTCGGTCTATTGGGTAGAAAGCGGTTTCTTTTGCTGGATGCCTAAAGAATTGTGCCAGTAACTACGGTTACTGTTGGTGGTAGAGGTGTGTTTAACATAGTGTTGGGATTGGCAAGGAGCAAAGGGAATTATGCTGTTAATAAAGGAGATTATTTTTAATATAGATTAAGGTTAACGGGACAAGTTTCTCAGAATCATGAGTTACAGTCTTTTCACAGTTAGATTATCCTACAAAGGAAATCAACAAAACAGTTATCAACGAAAACATGGCTTTCTTCTGGTAAAAGCGACAAAACCCGAAGTGGACAAAAGCAAGAGGTAATTCTTCTTTAAGTGCTTTGAACTTTATCTTTTATTTTCATTTGTTCCTGGTTGAGTCAAGAACGGGCCTATTTATATTAATTTTGTGTACATGTTTTGAAGCAAATGGGCGGAAAACTATACTACTAAATGGCCAGAACATTATACTAAATGGCCAAAATAATGTCCTGGAAAAAAAATTATTTGGTTGATCGGATAATCAACCTACATGTATTGTTAATTATCGAGAAAAGGTCGAATAAAGTTCCACTATGTAAAAGAAATAAACGATTATTGCGTTGTTCTACATGAGTTTGTGGGTGCAAATAGTTTGTGTCATGCAGCCAACATCGTCGTGCAGTTTTTTCGTTCATACACCACCAGAGGCGCTCTTTTGGTGCAAATTTATTAAATAAACTTTTTTGGTTTTTTTCGTTTGTTTGTGTCACGTAGCGATTTTTTCATTTTTGTTATCGTTATATGAAAAGTGTTCTATTTATACTGTCATTATTTTCGTGTAATGTAGTTTGTTTCATGAAACCGTTGTGCAAATGTAGGAGTTTTTTCGTTTACGTTTGATGAATTTTTTTTGTTATGTGAAAAATGAAAATGTTCATATTCTATTACATACAGTCATCATTTCCATATTAAGAGAAAAGTCTCATACTGAGAGAAAAGTCATCATTTCCATATTGGGCAAATGTCAGTGACACTTCGAACCACGAGAAAAGCATATCATTTTTTGGTGCGCAGTCTGTTAGCATATTTTGGTACTCAGTTCGTCAGCATTTAATGAATTGATAGATTGCCTGTAGTAAATAAATATATAAAAGCTCTTTTACTGTCGTATTAATGACAAAAGTTTTTGACAAAGAAAACTTGTTTTCTCAATATACCCTTTTCATAAATTAACTACTGTTCAAAATGTCTGATCCTGTTCGTGCTAATTACGACCACTTAGACTATATTGAATTGCTATTTTCAATTAAATGCCCTTATCAATTAACTCTTTCTATCGAAGAATTAACTAAACCAGCTGCAAAAATCCGTGGCGATGCTGAACAACCACCACGGCCACAAAATAGTTGGATAATTTTTCGAAGAGACTATGAAGCGCGTTTACGTTTATTCAATCAACATGCTAAACAAAAAGTCAAAGAAACAGCAAAGGAATGCAGCTCAAAGTGGCGAACGCTATCAAGTGAAGACAAATATTTCTTCAAAATATTGGAGAAGATGGCTTATGAGAATCACAAAAGCTTATATCCTAATTATAAGTATAAACCAAAAAATATAAAAGGTTTAAATGCTAAGAAATGGGTGTTTCGCGAGCAAAAGAAATACACATTTACTTCGGTGCCCATGTCTAACAATTCATCTCCTCAAGAAGCAACACAAATCGTTAGGTCATCTTCGCACAATCATACCGCCATCACCACTTCAATATCCATTGATAACGCTCATCCTCCTACGATCAATGATAATAATAAAGCCGGAAATTCGATCGACGACGCGTTTAATAAATCATTGGATCAACTTCCTTTTTCATCTGGAAATAATGACGAATATACCGCCATCACCACTTCAACAACCATTGATAATGCTCATCTTTCTACGATCAATGCTAATAATAAATCATTGGATCAACTTCCTTTTTCACCTGGAAATGACGATGAATCTTTTATTATCAGTAATACCTCAAACACTAATAATTTGATAACACCGATATCTTTACCCACGTTAGAGTCACAGCCATTGTTTATCGCAGAATACGATTTATCAAATACCAATTTCGAAGATTTATTACATGAATACTTTTCTTAATCTTTTTTTTCAATTATACAATATGTAATTAAGTAACACAAATTTATGTTTGATAAGAGGTTTGAAATTTTAACACTTCATTAAATAGCACTAAGCATAAAAATAAGCTACTATAGATCCCTCGATAATTTTAAATTAACTATTTGATCATTTCTCGCAATTCAATAATTCGTTTATTCATTTGTTCCTTCGTTTAATTTAACAGTTTACTCTATTTGTTCTTTCGTTCAATCTGTTAGTTCGTTTTAATTTTCTAATTTGTTCTGTCTGTTCTTTTGTTTAGTCTATTAGTTCATTGGGTCATTTTTAATTTTTTTTACCAACGCTACTGCTTTAAATCCGTCTTTTTCTTTGTAAAATTCATCGTTCTTTATCGTCTCTTTCAGCTCAAGGAAATAAATGGGCTGCAATTCTGCAATAGATTTTTGCATATATGTGTTTTGCACTATGTCTATAATACATCATGATAGTTTAATTCGAGAGTCCATAAATGAGATCATTGTTTTCTAAGATACATGTTAATCGTGTGATGAACTGATCAGAATACGTTATCCAAAAACTAAGACAACCGTTACAAAATGTTGTTATGATTAATTAGAAGTTATGCGAAACTAATAAGATATAAAGTATATAAAAGAATTAGTTATCTTTGTTTATTTCGTCTACGTGGCGCTAGTAATGTCACACATTATAACATGTACTAAACATTTGTGGTGCCGAATTTATAATGGACCAATGAGAATAGAAACTAACAAGCCGATAAAATTCACTTATTTGAAATTTCGCGATCGAATTTTCGGCTTGATCGTAGCTAAGATTAGCATTATCAATGGTTGTTGAAGTGGCGAGTGTAGTGCGATTGGCTGATGTAGTGACATTCAAGTGGGCAACCTAACGATTTGTGTTGCTTCTTGAGGAAGCGAATTATTAGACATGGATACCGAAATACATGTGTCTTTCTTTTGCTCGCGAAAAATCCATTTCTTAGTATTGAGCTTTTTGCACTTTTTGGCTTATACTTATAATTATAATATAAGCTTTTGTGATTCTCATAAGCCGTCTTCTAAAATATTTTTAAGAAATATTTGTCTTCATTTGATAGCGTTTGCCACTTTGAGCGGCATTCCTTGCTGTTCCTTTGATTTTGTTTAGCGTGTTGATTGAATAAACGTAAACGCGCTTCATAGTCTCCTTGAAAGATTTGCAACTGGTTTAGTTTGTTAATTTTTCGATAGAAAGAGTTAATTGGTAAGGCATTTAATTGAAGTTGCAATTCAATAGTCCAAGTAGTCGTAATTAGCACGATCAAGAGAATCAGTCATTTAAACATCAAGTAAATTTATGAAAGGGTATATTTGAGAAGATAGGTTTCTTTGTCAAGGACCCTATTTCATTGTAAAAAGATAAAAATTTCTGTATAATATTTTTGTATAAGTTTTTTTATCAATTCACTGATATCCTTTACCGTTACTTTTTCACATGTACTATATACATTTAAAAAAATAATACTAATTATCGTTACATGCATACTTGCACAAAAAGTAACGACAATGACAAGAATGTTAATCAGATTTAATAGCATACATATGTGTATTCGAGCAGGTTAAGTATATATACATGGGTATTCGAGCTCAATTTATATTTAGCGCAAATAAGTAGATTTACCCTAAGCCAAAAATCCGGAAAAGATACTTCATTTGTTAAATGGGAAAACATGAAATCTTTGCAAGTATTACTTGCACACAAAAACACACTGTAAACATGAAATCTTTTATGCAAACATGAAGTCTTTTTACAAGAACATTAAATCTGATTGGCTAGTAAGCCCTAACCTATTTTTAATGTAACCATTTTTTGTCTTTTCGAACCTGCGAATTTTTCAACTTGACACACATTTAGGTTAAAAGATAACCAAATAAAGACAAGACTACGATTTTTCTCTTGTTTGCGTTGCATTCGGATTGGTTAAATTTTTATATTACACTTGATCTTGGTGGTTTACCACGTGATACTACCTGGTTAGTGGACGGGAAAGTGAGGTTGTGACTTGTGACTATATGAAAGACCAAATCTACTAACCTCACATGATCGTAATCTCCGAAATATAATGGCGTTCTATTTGGATAGAATCGTCATATTAACGCAGTAACCGATGCCATATTAACGGGATATCTTAAAATAATTTGATTTTTATAATAACTTGGTGTCCCTGGATAAAATAGAGTTGTCTAAGAAAGATATTTACAAGCGAGGAAAATGACATCGAAAGTAACAACCATGAATATTCAATCTCTTTTTGGCGTGGCGGGCAAAGTTGTGTTAGTGACGGGTGGATCGCGTGGGTAAGTTTAATACTTTGAAAGCGTATTTACGCTTTGGGATGTCAAATTAATTGATTATTCGGAAATCAACGTAAGTATCGGCCTAATGATCGCGCGAGGATACGTCGAGAATGGGGCAAAGGTCTACATTTCTTCGCGATCAGAGAAGGATTGTGATCGGGCAGCAAAAGAATTGACAAAACTAGGTAAACTTGGCATATAAAAACTAAAAATTCAACCATTACAAAACCAAGAAACATCTAAATAGAATTAAAAAATGTAGGTCCAGGAGAGGCGGTCAGCATTCCAGCAGACCTACAAAAACTTTCAGAAGTAAAACGATTGGGATCGGAACTGAAGCAACGTGAAGAAAGTGGGTGCATTTATTATGTCGAAAAAGATCTATCTCGTTCCCCATTTACCTTCTTTATCTTCTTAATAGAGTTACATGTGTTAATCAATAACGCTGGGGCTACCTGGGGTGCTAAATTTGATGAGTATCCGGATGAAGCGTTCGAAGTATGTCAAAATTCTCGTGTTTTTTATCTTGTTAATTTATAAAGAACTTTCGTTAATTTTTGATGTGATCAATTTTGTTCTCCATAATTGTAATCTAGAAAATCATCAATTTGAATCTAAAACGCGTATTCAGTCTAACGCAAGAGTAATTGAGCCTCCATAAGTGTTCATAATTAGGGTAAAATGATTATAATATTAAAATGAATTTTCGATTTGATGACAGATTACTTCCACTACTGGAAAAATCTGCCACACCATTAGATCCAGCACGCGTGATCAACATCGGATCAGTAGATGGTAAAAAAGCCACCTTTATATTCTTGTATTTTTTCCTTTTTGCATGCTCAAGTCGTCACCTCTTAAAAAACAGGAATCAAGGTTCCGTTATTAGAAACCTACGCTTATTCCGCATCAAAAGCCGCATTACACCATTTGACGCGCGTGTTTGCTGGTCAACTCACCGCGCCTCGACTGGTAACATTCAACGCAATCGCTCCAGGACCATTCGACACAAAAATGATGGCGCACACGCTGAAAACAATAGGCGATGTTATCAAGGATAATAATCCGTTAAAGAGGATCGGGTCACCTGAGGATATTGCTGGCACTTGTATTTATTTGTCGTCGCGTGCTGGGGCTTATACAAATGGTGCTTTGATTGTGGTGGATGGTGGAACAGTTGTGAGTCCACCACGTTCAGTGTTGTGACTTGATTATTTTTAATTTGATTTGCCTATATAATATTTATATTTAATCTCTACAAGTGATATAATAATTTATTGTAAAAAGTACAATAACGCATATATATATATATATATATATACACGCAAAAGATAACCGAAGTGACTGACTAAACTCTCTAAATCTCAATCATAAAGTCATTTTTTTCACTGGCAATATAAGCCTCTCATTTCTCTTGAAGAAATCAACTAACACTGTGGCGGTCCTATCGGGTGCATCCTCTTGTACCATATGACCTACTTCGGGCATTACGTGAAGTTGATATTTTCCTAAAATCAAAAGATAAAAAACGTGAACATTTTTTGCATGTATCCGAATATAATTTCTAAGGAAGTACCTTGCATTTGGGCTATGGTCAGAGTTTTGTCTAGCCGATCAGTGCCTGATCAAAAATAAAAATATCCGTGCAAAATGAATATAATCAAAAATGAAAAAATAATCAATAATTCTTCAATTACCAGCCAATATAAGTAACTTTGCTGCATTCGCAGATAAGAATTTATCCGACATTCCCTTAAACCATTCTTTAGATAAACAAAAAAAAAAAGGTTAAGGTATGTACATATAAATATAAATTGCTCTTAAATTTCCACCAGGTTAACTACCTTCCCAATATTGTTGTGTAGCCTCAAGCTTTGTCCGCCACACATATTTCTTTCCGCCACTCTGATCTATCTCTTCAATAACCAATGACGGGACAGATATCCTGGCAGAAGCTAAATTATGAATGGTGCCGGATTTTACACTAATCCCAAACAATCAATTAACTTGTTATTAGATCGTTCTTTTTTGTACGGGTAGTATTTATTATTTTTGGGATTTATCTGGTTCTTACTTCCACTCTATAGCATGTTCTACGGATTGAAATTCGTTTGGCCGTTTTCTTAAGTAATCATGCATTCCTGATAGCGCTTCCATAGCTGATCCTGAATATTTATTTAGTCAAATATTATATAATTTTAAATTGCGATCAAGATAAGATAAATTATATTAATTAATATATATATATATTTATATAGATAAATACCCTCAACTACATCTAAGACAGCAACACAAGTCACAGATGGTAATAGATGTTTTGATGCAGCATGCGCAACTACACATCCGCCCATGCTAACAAAAATCAAAATCCATTTTAAAATCAATTCTTGAAAAATCCAAATCACCAGAAATAGTTCGCACCTATGACCAATCAAGAAAATGTCATGCTTCTTCAACTCCTCTTTACTATACACCAAATTCAACACATTCACCAGATCTTCAGCTAATCGATCTAATGAAAGATTAGTGTCATCTGAAGTACGTGTAAATCCTATAATCATTATTATTTAATAAATTTTAATATTGTTTTACTTCATACAAAATGACAAGATATAATCACACAGACACACACACACCATGTCCACGACAATCATAAGCTAAGATCGATGCGGTGCCTCCCATTTCCCGTCTAATATTTGACGCGCAAAGTGCGAACGAAAGTCCCGAGTAGCCTGCACCATGGTGTAGCACAAATATCGGGCCAGTGTTATCTTTGGTAGCAGGTGCTTCGTAAACTCTAAATATGTGAAGAATACGCGTTCTAGATAGTCAAGGTTTTTCTATCTAAAAAGGCTGAATCCTTTTCTTGAAATGGAGTAAGAAATGAGATAAAAGGATATATCCTCAGTTCCAGGTATTTTGACATCTCGTGAACAGACGAAACAAGTGTCCCAAGGTACTGGCGAGTAATTTTTTCCACCGCGCGGGGTAAACTTTCTATCAGCATGAAATTAATAACTAAATTCGTTAAGAGCTTAAGACGTTGTAAATGCGAACGTGAACCCAATTTACTTTTTTGCAATCGAATTAGTTTCAAAAGTATCTTCCTCTTCTATTACTTCTTCATAGTCATCTTCACGCGGAAGACGTGGTGGTAATGCATTCTTGTTCTTGAATAATCCTTTTTCAAGAGATGACATTGATAATTATGTAACATGCATGAATACTAGCCAGTTTATTTATATCTTTTCTCGTGGTAAATGACCCTTTAATTTATCAAAAAATGGTCTAGTGTAAACAGGACGACGCGAGATCATAATTGAAGATCCACTTTACTAAAAAAGAAGATTGCGCGCGCACGGTTTTTTTGTGTTTAAAACAACTCGCGTCAATGATCCTCTGACGTAAGATACGTAAGATACGTTTCATATCAATCAGAGTAAAAACATCAGAAGGTATTTATTCCTGATTGTTCTTAAAACTTGAACTTTTTTACTAGCATGGTGATTTTTTTAATGAACTGATATTCAAAGTATCCCTGGCATGTTATTAAAATCTACACGAAGGTCATTTCGAGAAATCTTTCGATTTTTTGATGCCTCATTTTATCCAATTTTGAATTTAGAAAGAGTTTCGATTGTGTTCCCAACATATGACTAAAAGATTACATCTTTTTTCTCTTCATGACAAATCGACAAACCTCTGTCACATTCAAATTTGATCGCTTTCATATGTCAGTTGCATCACTGCAGTTTATCAACATCGCGTGTATAATAACTTCTCGAGTAATAGACAATGTATGATACTGTAGAATTTAGTAACTCATTTTTTTCACTTGTTGATTTTCGAATAAACTTTCGGGTTTTACGTGTTCAAAAAAATTCATTTACTTGAGGATTGCAAATATGTCTGCTGTGGTGTGTACTTTACCGTTAACATAAACATCTAAGAAAAAAAAGTCGATATATAAGACAAGGCTCTTTTTAACCACAATATTATATATATATAGTCACGTATAGCTCAGACGCTGAGGTACTTTGCCACAGCGTTCTTTTGTTACGTACTGGAAGTAGCAACTTCATGTTGGCGGGTAAATTTCTCACACTTTGAAACTTGATCCTACGTTATTTTTTTTTTAACTAAGGCGTAAGGATTAACTTTTAATTTCATTCCAATAGACCCTTCGATATAAGTTACGAAATGCGAGAACACCTGCTGATCAACTACGGAGTGACTTATGGCATGCAAAAACATATAAAGAGTGGGCGGCTAAAGCTCATAAACTAGACCTGTAAGTTTTGAATTCAATAAATTTTATTCTATTCCTATTATTCAAATCGAGAATGAATTTGCTAAAACAAAATCCTTTTAAAGGCTTTTAGGTAATTTGATATATAGGATGAAAAGATTGAGTTTTCATCGTTTTTTAAAGAATTAATCATTTAAAATGAAACTTGTTCAGGAAACGATGCATGGAAAGAAGATCCAAAGTCACCTTATTATGATAGCGAATTGATAAAGTCTCGATTAGATCATCTAAAACAAGTACGAATGAATAATGATGTGACAGACATGATCTATTTACTACGATCAGGTAAATGAATGCATCAATTAATATTGAATTGATTCTTCGTGCTTTTTATTGACACCCACTTTTATTATAGGCTTGCTACGAAATTTGGGTGGATTGAATGACCCAAAATTATTTGAACGATCATATTTAGGGTAATGCTTATATTTTCCTGACTGTAAAGATTTTTGAGGTTTTTTATTTTATTTACTCTAATTGACTCTCAGACTCTGATGTAGAACCAAAAAATTAATAGAAGATTACACCCAAGAAGTAGTACGCCAGCTCGAGTATATTGGCGACACAAATTTCAATGATTTACAGCCTCGATCTAAAATTGATTTTTATTATGAGACGCGACAAAGTTTTGGGTGCACTGCGCTAGTGCTTTATGGTGGCGCTACTTTCGGTAAGCTACAAAAAGGATCATGAATTTTTTTTCCTAGTAGACAATCGTCAATTTTAATTGTTCACTTCTTATTTAGGTCTTTACCATTTGGGAGTTTGCAAGGCATTAAATGAACATGGATTATTGCCAAGAATTATTAGCGGAACTGCGATCGGTGCTTTGATTGCTGCTCTTGTTTGTATTCACACAGACGATGAATTACCGGTATGTGCTATGATTAAATTAGTTTAAAAAATAGATCTATGATGTTTACTGATCTATTTGCTAATGCTTCCCTTCCCTTTAAATAAATTTAATTATTAGTCTGTTTTTAAACCCGATGGCATTGACCTTGGTGCATTCAGCAAAGTTGGCCAAAAAGGAAACATCCAACGAAAAATTAGTCGATTCTTGAAGCATGGTATTTTGAAATCTTCACTATCACTGTTCTATGTAAAAAATGATCATTATATTCCTGGCGATTGATCTATTGATTTTTAAAAAAAATGATTGTTAAATCATGAAAGGTTATCTCATGGATGTTAAGGTTTTGGAAGAATGTGTCAGAAGCAATGTCGAGGATCTCACTTTCGAAGTATGATGTTCTATTCATTCATTACTTTTCTATACATTATATATTAATGATGATTCTCTAATGAAATTAGGAAGCGTTTGCAAGAACAAACCGAATTCTCAATATTACTGTCTCATCCGCAAGGAAATTTGAAGTGCCTCAACTTCTCAATTACTTGACAGCTCCAAATGTCGTAAGTATTTAAAAGAGACAAAGATAACTTAGATTCGATGCTAGTAATTTTGATCACAATTCAATTATAATAGTTGATACGCAGCGCAGCTCTTGCTTCGGCTGCAATGATGGGTCTCTACAGTAGTGTCGAATTGCTGGCCAAAGATAAAACTGGCGCTATTGTGCCTTGGGCACCTACGGGTAAGTTAATTTTCCTGCTTTATTATATTATATTATATGAATGATTCATTATATTTATATGTTTCTATCTCTTTTTGATTAGACGTCAAATGGAAAAAGTGGACTGATGCTGTTCCCTCAGAGAGGTAAAGACTCTTAACCTGGTTCGATTAAAAAAGTTTTTGAACAAAAAAAGTTTAAAAAACAATTTTATATGTTCTAATAAAAATCACAGCGAATCTCCATTCCAAAGAATTACTGAATTATTCAACGTGAATCACTTTATCGTGTCCCAAGCGAATCCGTACATTGTCCCATTCATGCCACAAGAACCAATGTCACGAACCGCAAACATTTTGTACAAATGTGGTCATTTTATCTCGTCCGAATTTAGACATCGGATATTGCAGGTTAGTTATGTCGTAATTTCCGTTGGTAATTCTTCAAATATTAACTAACCTCTTTTTTATAAGTTGGAGCATATGCGGTTAATTCCAAAAATACTTCGAGGCATGGTTGACGATAAAGTATCAGGAAACGTCACTATAGTACCACATCTCGCTTTTAAGGTGAATAATTCATAATGGAATTGTACTGTCGATAATGAAAAAAGATGATACCAATTTTATTGACGTTTTTTTATTAATAGGACTTTAAAGAGCTTTTCTCAAATCCGACTGCCGGTTCTTTAGATTACTGGATTCAGAAGGGCGAACAATCAACTTGGCCAGTATTAGCATTAATCAGAAATCGGTGCATGATAGAGCTGGCTCTGGATCGGAGTAAGAAATCCTATTTGGCTATTTTGTTACCCGAGAGATTGTAATTATTTAATAGATTAATTAAAACTTGGATTTTTTTCTATTCTAGCTTATATTAAAGTTAAAGCCGCAGCATCGAGTGAACGCGTAGTTCAGCATGAGCCGAATGATGCCAGGGAAAGAAATGGACCGAGAAAGCGAACAAAATCTATGCATTAATTCACCTTTTAAAAATCCTTTAGAATAATATGCGACATTCTGCCAATCATTAGCAACCGCTTTAAATCGATACATAATATAATCACGTGTAGAAAAAAATTGGTTTACGACTTCATCTTGAAGGATTAAAAATATCACGTTTTACGTTTTATAGAAAGCTCAACATGAAATATCGAAGTTTGTAGAATATCTGGAATCCTAACTCATCTTTCTTGTTCACCAGATAAATTGCTATCACAAGGTGATTGTAGTCCTCATATAGTATCGCAGAGCGTAATAGATAGAACTCTGATATTTGAATACAATGAAAATTACAAAAACTTTTAATAATGAGATGAACAATCAGTAAATTATCCATTATTGATTTTTATTATCAGAAAACGTTCAAGATCCCAATCATAAATTATCCATAGCACAATTAATTTATTAATAATTGAATACCCAAAACTGCAAATTCTTTCTCGTTATAAATTATTCCCAAAGTGATTTACGCTGCTTCAATTTAGTCGTCTTTTCATTTTTATCAGACAGCTTTTTCTCCTCTTTATCCATGCGAGCTAACGCTTTTGCCAACGACTGATTCTGTCGTTTTTTCCCTTTCGTGGTGATTGTTTTTCGCTTTTTTATCGTTCTACGTTGTAGTGATGTTGGAAGTTTATCGGCGCCTTGTTTAGTGCGAAGTTGTGTTACAACTGGCGGATAAAGATGCGGTTTTTCGTTGGATCCTGGTAAATAATTGCAATCATCTAGTAACTTACTTGAATTTGATAAAGTCTAAAAATTATAATTCTATGATTTACTTTTTTTTGGAATTGACCATGAATCCACATCCATGGATTTTTTTTGAACTGCGGATATCTGATCTATTTGCATTAGATTTGGTTGAAACCGCTCTGCTCAAAGTCGTCAAAAAAAAATCCATTTTAAAGATACATGAGAGAGATAAATACAAAATCCAAAATAAATTTCATTCCACTCACTTGGTTTACCCATGCTGGATGCGTGTTGTTGGGTAGAAAAGCGAATGTGGCAGAAAATCCGGTAATTCGATGATAAGAGGTACTGCAAAAGGAAATCGATCACGTTTTCACTCATTTAAGAAAAAACGCTTTTCTCACGCTTATTTAATTCTCCGTTAAACTAACTAATATGTCAGCACGAACTCACGAGCCTAGGCTGCAGGAACACTTGGAAGGAGGTCCGTGGGCCTTAATAGAGTCAGATCCAGGTAAGGCAGTTTAAAAAGCTGTACTCCTTTTTTTTTCATGCAGCAAAAAAAGTTCTTTTAGGTTCTACGTTGCACAATACGAATCCTTAAAATTTTTGCAATGCTATTTTATATGTATCTTAAGGAGTTTTCACCTCGTTATTGCAAGGACTTGGTGTAAAGGATACCCAAGTAGTCGATGTATACTGGGAACTTGATGATAAAAATGAGTGGGAAAGCGTCGGGTAAATTTATGCCCATATATCTATTCGATGAAATATTCCGATCATTGATGAAAAGTTTCATCATTTTGTTGTGTTTGATAACATAAATAGCAAAGTGTACGGATTAATCTTCCTATTCAAGTTAAGCATGGAGATTGATAAAAGCGGCGAAGAGTTTGACGATGACGTAGAATTGCTGCAAGTATATTTCGCTAATCAGGTAAGAAAGAACGATGCTGCGTATTATGATGTCTCGTCATCCTCAAACGTAATTTCCTATTCGAATTAACGGATTATTCAACTTGTAAAGGTGATTGATAACGCCTGCGCAACGCAAGCCCTTTTGAATATTGTCCTGAACTGTAATCAAATCGAACTCGGAAATGACTTGAATCAATTCAAAGAGTTCACGAGAGATTTCAAGCCGCCAGTACGTGACATTATCATCATCAAGAAATTTATTATTAGATTTACTCAATTTTTTCTAACACATTGCTTTGTTTATTAGCTGAAAGGTCTGGCCATGACAAACACCAATAAATTTCGTGAAAATCATAATCGTTTTGTTAGGTACCCTGAATGTAACAATCAAAGTACAAAAGAAAATCGCGCATTGTGTCTTGACATATATATTATAAATTAACAGGTTCGAAGAGGATCTCGACCTGATAGAAATGGAAAAACCTAAAAAGAAAAGCAAAGGAGGGAATGCGGAGGAATATTGGGAGGCGGAAAATGATGATGTGTTCCATTACATTGGTTATGTGCCGGTAAATGGAAGCGTGTTTGAACTTGATGGATTAGCGCGTAATCCACGGAAAATAGGTAAAATCTATTTTTCAGCATGTTCCCCAAATTACTTTTTTGTAAGTATTTTGGTTTTGTGAAAAGGGGTAATCGAAGGCGACGATTGGATAGAAGTCGTAAAGGATTCTATCAGGAAACGATTGGAAAGGTCAGTATAATCTTATCTTTATCACCGCTTGATTGTTCCCCTTTTACCTCTTTAAAAATTGCGGAACTTTTCATAAAACGATCAATTGCATTCAAATGTAAAAAGGTATCAAAGCGAAGGTATCGAGTACAACCTAATGGCTGTCGTCCATGATCTTGAAGTCTACAATCGTGAAAAAGCGTGCGAGAAAATCATAATTAAAAGAACATTAGATCGTCGACTGGTTGAACTTGATCCAAATTGGAGAGCACTTAACAACATTAATCAAGTAATATTACTTATTTGCTTATCCGGAGGGAATCAGTTGTTTATTTTCATGTCATGATCAGTTAACCTTTGATTCTTCTTTCTTCCTATCTTTGATGGGTAACCATTAATCTTTAGGTATCCCGAGAAACGCCATTAATTCAAAACCTTGAACTGAAAATGCTCAAGAAACCACGCGTGGCCGCCGAAATTGAAGAGATCAAATCCATGAAAGAAGTGAATGAGTTATTAGAAAGGAGAAACCTGATAACTCAACAAATTCGTCAAGCTATAATCAATGAGAAACAAGCACGTGAATCAAAAGAACAAGCCGAGGTAAAAGTTCGTTCGTTCGTTCGTTTTCTTAAGATTTATTTGATATCAAATCTTGATCTTTTTTATATTCCTTACATAACCATAATATCATAGGCGGAAAACAAACGCCGAAAATTTAATTACGTCCCGTTCATTCAAGAATTTCTCAAAATTCTTGATGAACGTGATGAACTGGACGATCTCCTCGATCAATACAAGTATCGAGGAGAAGATGGAGCGGACGACGATGACGATGATATTGATGGTGGTGATGGCGACGAGGAAGATGATGAAGGTTTTGAAGAAGAATAAGAAAGAGGTGGTGATGGTGAAGTGAGAAAAATCAAGGGTTAGAGAAGGGTGATGATGCGATTTTTTTTTTTTGATAATTTAATAATAATATTGTAATCAATAATTGTTGAACAAACTATTATCATTATCATTGTTATTATTAAATTATTATTGTTTTTTATAAATAAGGTCCACGTCTTGTTCAATTAATACATGAAAAGTTTTATGCAAGGAAAAAAATCTCGCGATTATTTATTAGCATCTAATAATGCTGTGAGTACGTGAATGAGCCATTAATTTAATAATGAAGGAAATAAGATATTAGAGAAACAAAAGTACAGCGATAATTTCACACAATATACAATTATAAAAATCACAAATGTCATACACACTAATAAATAAATGAAAATGAAAACAAAAAGCTAATAAAATACATACAAAAAACAATTAATTTATTATCGATCAACTTATTTGTTTTTTCCTATTTCTACTCCAACAGTAATCTAAACCTTTCTTGAATCTCATTATGAATTTTTTGGTATCGATCACGAAGAACTTCTTCCCCATCTGCTGGATCCTATAATTTTTTTTTCGAGAGAAGTAAGATTATAATTCAATTAAATCCACCACAATTTTAAAATTAATCGATAAGAACGAAAAATACCTCAAACTTCATAGAACTTAATTTATACAACAAATCGCCCATTTGTTCACGTATCTTTGCCCACGTTATTTCATTGTTTGTGACTTCGACAGCGTGTGTGGCTGCTGTGTAGAAGCCGATCATGTTTTTGAGTAGCCAAGTGGTCTTTATTTGTTTATCGTTATCAATTCGTTAAAAAAAATCAAATACAGATTATTAGCGGTAAGGTTAGGTAAATGATTATTCTTGATCATGTCAAATACCTTGTAGAATGGACAGAATCGATCATAATTAGAATAACCATTTTGTTGAAGGAAATCATCTTTAATGATTCTTGCTATCTCTAGTGTGATCTTATCAGCCTCACCAAGAGCACTCTTGACAATGAAAAATAATAAAAATCATTTAATCTTTAGTAATTCATAAACGAACCAAATATCTACTCAAAAGAAAGATCACCTTTCCAACAAGCTGTACAATCTCTGACAAATCTTCCTCCTTTTGCAGGATTTCTTTAGTCTTATCACGCAGCGCAATAAACTCAGGTTCTTTCGACTCGTAAAAGCTTTCCAACACTTTAAGATATTTCGAGAAACTGAGCGACCAATTTACTGATGGGAAATGTTTACGCTGCGCGAGCTTTTTGTCGAGACCCCAGAATACTTGAACGATACCAAGTGTTGCTGAGGTTACGGGATCGGAAAAGTCACCTCCTGGTGGGGAAACACTGTTTGGTTTTATTGATTCAAGAGGAAATTAAGGATTATTTTATAGATGATGTCGTAAATTTTAGAAATGTGCTCGGTAGTGTTAATATACAAAAGGATACGCCCCAACAACAGTTACACTTCCTTCACGTTTAGGATTTCCGAGGCACGTAACTTTTCCAGCACGCTCATAGAAGGAAGCTAAACGAGCACCTAAATACGCTGGATACCCACTATCTAAAATTATACACGAAAATAAATTAAACACACTCCCTCAGAATTAAAAAAAAATGCAAAACTCGTGAAAAGATTGGTTATTCACTAACCAGCAGGCATTTCAGCTAATCGTCCCGAAATTTCACGAAGAGCTTCAGCCCAACGTGAAGTTGAATCTGCCATCATGGCAGCGTTCTTGCCTTGATCACGGAAATATTCGGAAAGTGTGATTCCTGAAATAATTTTTATGAAATCGATTTCCACAAAAGGGATTCAACCATTTTTCGTTTTAAATATTATTTTTGCTCTTACCAGTGTAAATAGATGCTTCACGAGCGGCGACCGGCATGTTAGAGGTATTAGCCACCAATGTTGTACGTTTCATAATAGATTCGTTGCGACCTTCCACATTAATAGTAAGCTTATATCACCGGGAGATAATATTAATTTAAGATAAATCTTTGAAAAAATAATAAATCATTAATTCAAAAATCTTACTTCTGGGAAATCCATTAATACTTCAGCCATTTCGTTACCACGTTCGCCACTATTTTACATAAAAACGGAGCGCATATAAATAATATATCTTATAAAAATATCAATATAAAAGAGAGATTAAAAATTGATTATGTCAAAAACACTCACCAACCAACATAAATAATAATATCAGAATTGGAGTACTTTGACAACGATTGTGAAATAACTGTTTTTCCGCACCCGAAAGCGCCAGGAATAGCAGTCGTACCACCCTGCACACAACTATTAAGAAAACATCATCATCAATAACCAATGATACGTTTGCGTGGATGTGAGTAAAAACATGCAATTCAAACTACTCACGGAAACAAAGCATCCAACACACGTTGTCCAGTAAGCAACGGGTAATTTGCAGCTAACTTTTCGGTGACAGGGCGTGGTGATCGAACCGGCCATAATTGCAACATGGTGTGCTTTGATGTCTTTCCTTCAAATTCTGTTTCTAGAACCACATCCTACATATTAATAATAATTCAATGCAATTTTAAAATTAGCTGGATCACAATGGTAGTCGTTAACGGAATTTTATTTTCAACCGTCTTTTTAGATTTTTGACGCATGCTTACTTCCAATGTATACGACCCAGCTTCCGCAATATGCGTAATAGTGCCAAGAGCCTTAGGTGGTAAAAGTATCGAATGCCTACGTAGCAACGAGTTTTCGTAAATCTCTCCATAGATATCACCACCGGTTACATGATCACCAACCTAAACGATCATATTTTTAGCAACATCATGAAAAATAAAAAAAAATACTTCGATTAATTCAATACTCAACTTTAAAACTAGGCTGGAAATCCCATGCTATCTTTTTATCTAAAGCAGGTGTAGCAATTCCACGTGGTATGTAAATACTATCTGATATTTCACGAATTGCCTAATTAAGTAAAACATCTAATTAGTAAATAAATGAATACATCAAGAGTATGATATAACGCTAATACACAATTATTAACATGCGATACTAAAAGGAAAAGCTCACCTTGAGTGGTCGTTGGATTCCATCATAGATATTAGACATCAAACCTATTTATTACAAAGAAACATAAAAGCCACCATTTTTTTTTCAGTAAAGCATATTAGCATTAACACATAATTAAAATGTCATAAAAATGTTACCGGGTCCCAATTCAACAGATAACGGTTTTCCCGTTTTTAATACTGGATCGCCTACTTCTAACCCAGCTGAAAAAATTGAAATAGATCCAAAAAATGATTATCTCGACTTCTGACTTATATAAGCATAGATTTTCGGCAAATAATCAATTACCAGTTTCTTCGTATACTTGAATCGTAGCTTTATTACCGTCAAGACGAATAACTTCTCCCACTAGTTCTTGGTAACCTACACGGACCTAAAAAAAAATCCAAATCCAAACTTTAATAGCTTCTTTCTCCCTCTTTATCAGAGATCAATAAAAAAATTAATTTCCAACAAAAGAAATCAAAATCAAAGATTTTCTAATTGTTTGTAGATCATCTTTCGAATTACTTACCAATTCGTACATAGCCGATCCGTTCATTTGTTCGGCAACCACAACTAAATAATAATCATATTTTAGTGAGTGATTTCTTGGAAAAAATCCATTTAATAGAGTATTGATATCAACTCCCTTCTCATTTTTTACACTTTTCATTAAACAGCTCAAATATTTTCGTGAATCAAATAAAAATATTTACCTGGCCCGGACACCGCGAACACATAGCCAAAATCTTTTTCTCTTTCCGCGTCACGAATTTTGGGTAAGTCACTTTTTGCATTATCTAGTGCCCCTGCCTTGTAATATATTTAAATACATAACAACGAGCGTTAAAAAAATGTGAACTTTCTTTTTTTGCTGAAAAAAGAAAAAGATATTACCATTTTTATTAATTCTTATTTATCTTTGCTGATAAATATGTCAGAAATCAGAAATGCTGGAGTTATCGTTTCTTTTTTATTAAATACAGGAAATCAATCTCGAAAAAAGCGATCGATCTTGTGATCTTCTATGTCTCAAAAATCTATGTTGCACAGACGATTATCTCATCAAAGAAAAAAACTATAAGAACATGATATAACATATCTAGCATTGCATTATTAAATTAAAAAATGTCCGAGGAAATAGCAGCGGCAGCAGCGGAAGCAGCAACACCCACAACAAGCGTACAACCACGTTCACCACGGGTAGAGATTGAATTTTGTACACAATGTCGTTGGTACGTATATATATATATATATATATATATATATGCACGCATATGAAATATATATGAGACGAGTACCGCGTCATTCATTATCACGAGTGATTATCAATATGAAACAGGTTGTTACGCGCTGGTTGGATGGCCCAAGAGCTTTTTGTCACATTCTCTGACAAGCTTGGAGAAGTGGCATTAGTCCCTGGTGTAAACGCTGTGTTTCGAGTACTGATTAATGGAGGTAGTAGTGGTTTCAAAAGAATTGGGAATCTGTTAAGTGAAAAAAGAAATGTCAGTTAGCTTATTCATTGGTTCATCAACAAAGAATTGATATGGGATCGAAAAGAAAAAGGACGATTTCCGGAATTACCAGAATTGGTGAGTGCTCTTTATCCATGCTTTGGTATTTCGAATTTTTTTTGTAATTATTTTCGAAAAATTAGAAACAACTCGTTCGTGATCGAGTTGCACCTGATATGAAGCTTGGACATAGCGATGTAAAAGTGGTGGAAAAATAAACCACCATGGCATGCAAGATAGAAATGGAGGAAAATTACATAGAATGGTGAGATAAATTCTCTTTCGTATCATATCTAGATTCGCAATGTTATATATTATACACATTGGTGGTGAATGGGTCAAATTTTAAGACTATATAAATTATGCTTGACACCATTTCAAAATTTTCAAAATTTTCAGTCCCCCAAAAAGGAAATATTAATTTTTAATTTGATTTCATTTTAATCTAATTTCGTTATAATCTATCACATTGATTTCTTATTTAATGATGAATAGAAGAAATGAAACGCAATCATATATTTTTTTTATCATCGTCATCATTCTCATTATTTATCATATTTCTATTACTAGTATTACTTTCGCTATTATCACTGTTATTAACTAATACCGTACCAATCACTATCAACAGTGCACCTAGCCACCATTGCGCTCGTAGCTCTTCGCTGAATATTAATTTTCCAAGAATCGCCTTATTTAAGATTAAAAATAAAGTTAAATTTCTCACTTGCAATAAATGTAACTAGAAGATAAAATTACCGTCATGCAAAAATTCATAGCACTATTGACCACTGTAACTTGCACCGAAGAACTGGACGCGTTCAACGCTTTCGTAAAGAAAGTCCACATTAACGCGTTACATAGGAATATTAACGCAAAACAAAGCATTCGGATTGGGTAGATTATCTATCATGTGCATATATGCGCGATGAACGCAAAGATCAATGGACTTGTTTACTATACTATATACTTTTCGTCTGCGTACATACCCCAATCTCACTATCATCATCCTTTGTACATCCTAATATGAGAAACTCTTTCAGAGTACTCCCACATAGATATTCGGCAAAAAATTTTGTCCGCGTATCAGTGAATAACTTTGCGAATACCGAAGCTAAAGCTGCAAAAGATCCAGAGAGTATTGACAATGGTAGGAAAAACGATATTGGTTTTTTTTTTGTAGACATTTATTTATTTTCTCTGTGTACACTTATCGAATGCATCTAGTATTTTCTATTTCATTACGCATATCTTCACCACATTTGGACTATTTTCTTTTAATTTTACATTTACCTACCAAATACGCGCGTTGAGAATACGAGAGGAAAAAAACATGACGACACAAGGCGGGTCAAAGACAACTCATTTACCACCACCGCTAACAGAGCCAAAACCCAATCCAGGTGAAGGGCACATTATTTGTGAACTATCAAAGTGCAGTGTAAAGCCAGTATTTTCCACGTATCGTGCTTCATATCCTTTAAAATTTATTTCTCCACGTACTCACTCACCTCACTTGGCAGCCGTTTATCTTTTGACTTATGGCGGAGGACTGGTATCGGGTGACGTGATCTCTGTGAAGGTAGAGTGCTTGGAGGGAGTTAATTTAATGCTACTTACTCAAGGTTCAACAAAAGTGTATAAAATGCGAAATTTAGGACAGCAAAGACACAGCGATAGTGTGGTTTTCAAGGAGACTAAAGAAGCTACTATTGAATCAGACACTTCACCAAAGACAACGATATCATCGTCGTCATCAATAACACCTACACAGCAAAAACTTTATGCGCGCATTCACAAAAATTCCCTCCTACTTCAACTTCCAGAACCGACAACATGTTTTCGCGACTCGATGTTCACGCAGCGACAAACATTCACGTTGGAAGATGAAACCGCGTCAGTCGTATGTCTAGACTGGTTTACAAGTGGTCGCATGTCACGCGGTGAAAAGTGGGAATTTTTGCGATATGAATCTGGTGTCGATATTCTTATGGAGGAGAAATTGGTGTTTCGTGATGTGGTCTCGTTGGTTCAACATCATCCCAACCCCAATCAGAATCAGACCACAGTCTCTTCTTTTGACGAGATTACGCATAATTTAATTAAAGATCGGCTAGAGCCGTATCAATGCTACGCAACTTGTGTGATTTATGGACCGAGAGTTAGGCAGTTGATGCGACATGTACTTGAAGAATTTGATTTGATTGTCGTGCATAAATCGACGAGAATGCCGGAATTAATTTGGTCGGCTTCTGTATTATCATCGAATAGCAGCACCACCAGTGTTAATCAAAGTAATGGTAATAGCAATGATGGTGATAAAGAGAATCACTTGAGCGGTCTGGTTGTTAAAGTGGCAGGAACCACCACCGAAATGGTCAGAAATTTTTTGTGTACTGTCGTGTTAAAAGGGTTAGATGATATTGTTGGTGATGATCTTTTTACGCGTGTTATTTAACTTATTTTTTTTTTTGCTTATCCTTCACTTATACATGAATTTTTTGATCCCAACCCCCCCCAAATAACTAATATTATTTTTCATTATTAAGTTATTATTTCTAATCTGTATACGTGTATTTCTTGTGGGAACCTAGCCAAAAACAAAAGAATTTCGATCGAAAAAAAAAATTACTAGTCAAAATAGAATAAAACAAAAAACGCGAGAAAATAATGATAAAAAAACCGTTTAATTTACAAAATAAAAAAAAAATCAATCAACTGTCACCCCTTTTGTTCGTAAATCATCTTTTGCCTGATTTATTTCCTGCAAATTTCAAAAAATTACAATCTCAATAAGATGATTCTAATATATACACGCAAGGTGCACACAAATCATATTGAATTTTACCTCCATTAATTCATGATAAGCCTCTTCACAATCCCGAAACTTGTATACATGATATCCAATATTTCCCAACGAGTATGCACCAAATGAGACTAACACCCACCATGGAAACTTTTGATTTAAAAAAAGAAATATTTTATTATCCCCCAACTTTAATAGAATCAAATCACGTAAAAAAAATACTCCAACGCAAAAAGTCTCAACTTAAACACCCTCGCATCATCCCATGATAAATTAAAAAAAATCATTTATTTATACCACAGTCAAAATCTCCTCTTTAATGATAGTCGGCGTCGGTATCACGCCAAGCAGTAAAACAAAGTAAATTATACATGAAACTCCAAGAAATGTAAATGTTTCGGTGGCTTTTGTCATTTTTTCTTATATTTATTGACTTGTTATATTTTGAAGTTAATCAGCTATTGATTTTTCTACATATAAGTGATTATTTGGTCTAGAAACAACAATATTTCGAAATGAAAAAATTATTATAGATTCTATGTGTGTCAAAAATTATTAAATAAAGCTAGATTGACATTGGATAGATTGAAACATTTCCGCCCAATTAAATTTTATTGTAATGTTGGACACATATACATATATTTTCGAAATTAATATATCTTTTGGGTATGCATTGATAACTTTACACAATAACTGAAAAATAATTGCATGCAACAAGATAATTCATAAAGCAAGCAAGCAAAAACAAAAAGGAACAGATAAATTTAATCGGAATCGGAACTGGAAGAGCTTGAGCTTGATCCACTTCCAAAACCGCCGAATCCATGTTTTTTGTGTTTTTTATGTTTTTTATGCTTGAGAGCAGAGCCAATTAATAGTCCAGCCGCCTATGATTGAAAATTTCATTTAAACAAAGGGTCATTCCAAGACGAAAATGGATCAATCAAAGGTCATATAAAAATACGTACAGCTCCACCTAATCCTCCAGCGGCAAAATTCCCTAACCCAGGTTTATGCTTATTTGGTTTATGTGGTTTGTGACCGCCACCTGTCAATGCGCTTATAGCCGCAGCACCAAGCGCACCTCCAGCTCCCATTTTCACTATTTTGCCAAGCATTCCTCTTTCACCATCTTCCCCGGCTACTGCTGCTGGTTGTTGTTGTTGTTGTTGTTGTTGCTGCTGTTGCTGCTGATGATATTCTTGATTTTGAGGCGGATATTCTTGTTGTGGATAATAAGATGAAGAAGACGATGATGGGTAACTTTGTTGTTGTTGTTGCTGAGGTTGTGAAACTGGAGGATAAGTTCCTCCTCCTCCACCTCCTCCTAATGATTGATCTTGTGGCGGGTACGGATATCCCGTCGGTTGTTGAGACGAAGATGGAGGTGGATAACCAAATTGTCCTTGAGGCGGATATCCTGGTTGTGGAATAGAAGTTGGTGGATACCCTCCTCGAGTATCAGGAAAAGATTGACCTGGCATTACTGTCGTCTGTGATGGGGTTGCAACATATGATGAGGGATCAGGGAACGCTGGGTATGGTTTTTCTGCTGATTGATTTGGTGATGGATAATAATTGTTTCTTGGATCATCCCACGTAGTGTATGGTGGTTGTTTTGTTGTGTCTGTTATCGACAATAAATTATAAAGAATTAACAACTTGAGTTTAAAAAAACTATTTCATCATTTTTGAAATTGAATTGTTCGAGTTCTTTACCTACAAAGAAATATTTTCCACTTGCCACATCATACTATGCAATAATTTATTTTATTTTATGAAGAATGTTAGCTTATGAATTTGTACGCGACATGAACTAATGCTGGTTCATTAATGCTACGCCGAAACAGAAGAAAAGAATTTACCTCTGAAATCCAGCCTGGTGGAAGAAGTGTTGTGTCCATTTTTATTATACTATTGCAGATTCAATTCCTAATGTTTGTTATTTCAGGTTTTTTTGCGAAAGTTTCGTTATTAAATATTCTTGGTGATTTATCCAAATTTGGAAGACCAAGTTTTTATATGTTATTGTGACGGTTATAGAACAATGTAATCATTTCTATTTTGATACACAAATGACTCATGACATAATTTAATTAAAAAGATTCGCGCCATTCCGGGCAAAAAAAATGCCTGTTACTAATAATAATACAACTACCACTAATGCGACAACTCCTCCTAAAACCACAAGCGACAACAAAAATGACAATAAAATACAACAACTACAAAAAGAAAAAGAACAGCCCGATACCTCTTTAAGTTTAGGCAAATTTCCATATCCTGCATGGACGTTTTCTACACTCTGTACGTAATAAAAAAATGACCTTTGTCTAAGCAAAAAAAAAAAAAAGTTCTGACGCTGAATTTTTGGCTTGAAGGTCTCGCTTCGTCGCCGCTGGCAATACGAAAAATCCAGGGAGTCCCTTCATATTTTCAATGTATGGCGTTTGGTGCGATATTTGGGTTTTCTGGGTACTTTAAAACAAAACGCGAAAAGCTGTTTTTGGTTTCTTCTTAGTATTTCTTTTTTATCTTTCATTTTGATCGAAAAAATTCTATTATCTCGCTACAAAAAAGTTATATTACGTATACTGGAGACACCTATAATGGCGCGGGAACATCAACAGGTTTGATCTGTTTGCTTCATCTTTCGTATTATCATATTATGCATTCATTTTGGATTTTTTTTTACTATTATTTTATTAAAATGACGCGTAATTCTCTTTTACAACAATTAAAAAATAAAAAAAAAATTTACGAATTTACCGAAAAACAAATGATATTATCAAAAGCATGGTCATTGACATATTTAATAATTAACCTTCCCAAATCAATAAAATCACGAAGACCAATTCCAATCACGCTTTCTACTGTCGCGTTGGCAAATGCGATCATATACGGTAAAGAGTCTTGGTTTTGAAGGAAGCCGGGATTTTGAATTTCAATCTTCAACAAAAACATAAAGTGTAATAGGTTCGTGTATGTGTTGAATAGAAATGTCACGTAATGAATTTGTTGAGAAGAAACCGTAATAAAAAATAACGATAAGTGTTAAGACCACACGCGACAATGCGCCTCACGTTCATCTTTTATTGGCCATCTAAGCCAATACCACTTGTACCAGCCACGAATCTGTAATTCTTTACCATCGTCAACCAATTTACCTTTTAAAATGTGAAATTGGAATTTAACATCTGCTTCTTGGTATCATGACAAATTCATTAATTCAACTGAAAGGAAAAGAAAGAAAATACCATTCCAATATTTGTGTCCCCAGGCTTTCCCAAGTTTCAAACTCTGAATTATCAACGAATTAGAATATAATCCAAGATCAAAAGCCAGAATATGTATATACCTTGGAACACACTTACATCATTCCTAAATCGGACTCTTGTCACTTCTATGTAATGATTACGAAACCCTTTATGAATCCATTTGTTAGGGAGCTTGTTTATTTTTTAGCAGTATTTGATAAATTTTGTAAATTTTGACATAATTCTATTCTGTTACAATCATAATGATAGAGAGATTGATGCAGATACCACTTTTTGCCCCACACCATATCTTGGAAACACACTTAATAACTCTGGAAGAGTTTTTTTCTTGCTAGCTTGTTCGACTATTGGTAATGTCGCTGCTGATTCTCGTACTAGTTTTCGTGCTATTTGTGCCATTTTTTCCTTAAAAAAATCACAATGATTATCACGATGAAAATTTTAAATCAAGTATTTAACCAATTTTACTTTCTAATAATTTAGGATTAAAAATTTATAATGAACAAAGATGGTAAATATTGCCAACAAAATGAATTATTGGAATAATTAATTAAAGTCAGCTTTTTGATTGATTTTTCACAACTACATATCAGCACCAGCCGAAAACCGGCCAAAATACAGAGCAGGACGAAAACCAACAGCCGTAAAAGTGTACACTGTGAACCAAGAGTCAAAGTACGATCTACTACCATTTCCTACTTCTATGACAATTGGGTTTATCCATATTTTAGTAAAGTCACGTGTTACCGCTATAGATACTTAGTAGTTGAAAATGTTCCAAGTATCGGAGTGACCAAAGAGTTGTTGGAGCTGTGTGCGTTGTACGGAACTATCGAAGAGTAAGAGAAATAAAAACGAATCATTTTGGGGTATGCTTTCGATTTTGATCTCTTATCCAACTCTCGCGCATAATAATGAAAGATATCGATATTTGGATGATTATCCATGCGAGGAATTTACAGATGTTTACTGGATAAAATACAGATCTTTGGCCGAGGCTAGGTATTTTGACTCTTGCGTCATTTATCCTTCCTTCTCATTCAAATACTATCTTTAGGAGAATAGTTAATCCGATTATGATTGACTTCATTGGTTTTAATTAAATGAATGGTTAATTAATTAATTAATTAATTAATCGCAAGGGTAGCAAAACGAAAACTAGACGACCACATCTTTTTTAGTTCGCCACTTTCGGTTCGATATGGACCAGAATACGAATCAATACAAGAAACACGAGAAAAATTGCAAGATAGACGAACCGTAGTTGCAATTAAAACACAATCATCGTCATCTTCAATGGCATCTCCATCGATTACCGGACAACGACAACAGCAATTAAAAAGAACGAATGCCCAAACTCCTGACAATACCATAAATAATTATTATGTTGCTGCTAATTCTTCTCAGCCTCCTCTTCCACCTGATCCACCACCACCTCCAATATTTCCACAACCAGACCCTAATGCATACTATCATCATAATAATTATCCTCAAAATTATTATCCGTCGAGTTCACAGTATTTTTCGTATATGAGTTATCAAAGGTAATTATGAGTATATGTTCTGTAGTATTCTGCCGGAATTTTCATTTTTCGATAAATAATGTTTTGACACCTAATTTTAATTAGCAATGAACCTCCAATTCCAGGTATTGGATATACCACAACTGCGCCCATACCCAGTCATAAAGACGAGTTGAGCAATGAGGTTTGGTCATTTATATTTTGACGGATGAATAAATTTTCTATATTAACACTTTATGGTATATATACTTGATACAACAGCCAATCTCATCTACTGTTCTCAACATTCGCGAAAAAATACAGGACGCGTCTTCAGTTAATTTACCACCTCCTCGAACAAATCAAACTCAATCAACAGAAAATAATATACCGACAATTTCACCATTGTCGTCTTCGGCAACAACAGCAGATACAAACACAAGTCCACCTGTAAAAAAACGTAAAAGAATTTAAATAAAAAAATTAAGGTAATATTATTTATTATAGGGTTATAAAGAACGACTAACATAATAATTTATCATTATTAATATTATCATCGTTAGACATTTCAACATTATTCAGACCATTTTCCTGGCTATTTACTATGTCCAATTATAGATTATAATTTTATACTTAAATTCGGATACACCCTCTATAAATGATGATTAGCATTAGCAATCCATAAGATTGAAGGAGGATACCAACAAAAACAACATGTCCACAACTTTATACATCTTACAAATCAGCTCTACTTTTCAAAAAAATTCGTAATGTGCGTGTAGATAAACATTTTTTATTCTTCCAATACACACCCATACCAAACGAAAAAATATTTTAATTAAGGAAAAAAATCGATCACCAGGATCAGCTTTATACTAATTATGCCAGTGAAGGAACTGTATGATTGACGTTTCGAGGTGTATGTGTGAACAAACTTTTGTTCACGATTATAATACTATGGTGAGAGAATATTATGCATTGTGTCTTTTATCACTAGATCTCCTTTACTTTCTTTTTCGCCAAAAATTACGCGCCAGGCTACTTGAAAAACAACAATTAAAAAATTGGCTATATAATCACGGGAGCTGATTTTACTTACTCAAATATATTTTCACGTTCATCACGGGATTCCAAGAGAGACCGTCCCATATTTGGAAATCGTTACACAATTGACGAAGAAATTTTTTTTATACACTTTACAGTACT